CCTGCAAAGCTCCAACCTCTTTGTAACTTGCTCGTATATTCCTCCATGTTCCCAAGCTTCTACATATTTGCAGCACCTCGCCGCTATTAGGAACATTTCTTCATCCGCTGATGCTTCAGATCACCTTATTATTTTGGGTGACTTCAATATTCCTCAACTATCCTGGCTGCCATATGATGATCTTGCTGCACTAGTTCCCAGCGATCAGAATGATTTCCTAGATGGTCTTATCGCCTTATCCCTTGGCCAAGTAAATTCCATACCCAACCAGAATGGGAGATTCCTAGACCTAATATTTGTATCTGACTTTTGCGATACCACTATAACGCGCTGTACTCCGCTGTCCAGTCCTGAGGACCCCTATCATCCGACACTACAAATTATCACTACTCGATGCTTCCGGAAAGTCGATTACTCGCTACTGTCGGTTTCCTTGACCCAAGTGGACTGGTCTATACTCCAAAATCTTTCTCTTGTTTGATAAAAAAAAACCTCTACCAGCCCACCGTGGTCATCGAAACACTTGGCTCACCTAAAAAATTTAAAGACGAAACTGTATAAGAAGTTCGCGAAAACAGGGCTCCAATCTGATTTTTGCAAATACAGTGTAGCCAAATCCAATTATTTCCTGCATAATTCCGAATGCTATAATAGCTACCTGTTACGCTGCAAATATGAATTCCGCAGTAATCCCAAGCTATTTTACTCTTTTGTTAACTCAAAGCGTAAGTCCAAAATGTTTCCACCTTCTCTTCATTTGAACAACATATCAGCGTCAAATGACCAGGGAATCAGTAACCTGTTCGCGGACTTTTTCCAGTCCACATATTCGCCTTATTCAAATCTCCCAAATTCCATGATTTTCCAAAAATCTATCCATCTCTGCACCTTTCCGGCTGTTTGGAAGGAGTCCTTTATTATTCCACTTCATAAGAAGGGCAGCAAGTCTGATATTATGAACTATCGTGGGATAGCCAAACTAAGTGCTATTCCTAAGCTATTTGAAAAACTCATATGCGATCAATTGCAGCATCAGTGTCGCTCCTTATTATCTCCGAATCAACATGGTTTTACAAAATGTCGTTCAAACTACAACTAACCTGCTGGAATTTACGACCTACATTAATAAAGGCTTCCTATCCTCCAATCAAACGGATGTAATTTTCACTGATTTTAGCAAAGCGTTTGATTCAGTGTGCCATGAGCTTCTTATCCACAAGCTGCGCCTTCTTGGTTTCCCACTAACTCTTCTGATGTGGATTCAGTCATACCTTACAGGCCGTTCCCAAAAGGTACAATTTAATAATGTACTTTCAAAAATTGTATCTGTAAGCTCCGGAGTACCTCAAGGTAGCCATCTTGGTCCTTTGCTATTTGGTCTATTTATTAATGATCTTCCTCAAATTATCGTGGCCTCCAAAGTTCTTATGTATGCGGATGATGTCAAGTTGTGTATGCATATGACATCGCCTGGTTCCCACATGCAGCTCCAGCTTGACTTAAATAACCTTCAATCCTGGTGCCAAGTCAATAAGCTACTGCTTAATCCAGATAAATGTAAATCCATGACATTTTTCGTTCCAATCCAGCTGTGCGTACATACTCCATTGGCCAATCAGCGCTAGAACGCATTGAAACCGTCCTAGATCTTGGAGTCCTATTTGACCATAAGATATGCTTCAATCGCCATGTCAGCACTATCTCCAATAAAGCTAAGGCCTTATTAGCTTTCATCAAACGCTGGTCCAAGGAATTCGATGATCCGTATATCACAAAGCTCCTGTATGTTTCCTTAGTTCGTCCAACGCTGGAATACTGCTCATGCGTATGGTCTCCACAGTATGAGCACTATCAAGACATGATTGAGTCCGTTCAGAAGCAGTTTCTCCTATTTGCCTTACGTGGTTTGAACTGGGACTCTGGAAGCCGACTACCTTCCTACAAAGACAGGCTGCGACTTTTGAATCTGCCAACTTTAAAGCATCGTCGAATATGTACTGGCGTGATCTTCCTTCACAAGCTCCTTACTGGCGGTGTGGACTCACTTCACCTGATAACGTCCATAAATTGGAACGTTCCTTCTAGACCAACTCGTCGATTTCGGCCATTAGCACTGGAAATTGCCAGGTCAAACTACTCCCGTTTTGACCCATTCCGAGTTTTATGCGACAACTATAATGAATTGTACCACTTATTATCCTATGAGTGTTCCTACGATGTAAATTCAACCAGAGTCACTGCGTTCCTGTCTTCCGCAAATAATCAATCATATTGAAAATTTCTTGTATATTTTTTAAGTCCAATGAGCTGTTCATAGCTTTATATTAAATAAATAAATAAATAACTTTTTTCCCGTCCGTACAAATGTTCCAAATTCAAGGCAACTCAGATATTTTGCATAAAGAAAACAGTATTTTTTCTTGCAAATGCGGAGCCTCAAACGTGATTTCCAAAGAATAGTTTCTTTGGCATTATTGCTTATGCGGTTATTCCACCGCATTGTTCGTCTCATTCATTGGAGCATTTTTTTCTCATCCGATGCATGTAGCATGGTCTTACTCTCAGCAAACAAATCAACTGGCGCCAATTTTAAAATATTAATTCTTTTATTAATTCGCTGTTGGAATGGCGATATGTATTGCAGCAACTCCTACAGGCAGTTTTCCAATGGATTTTGTGGTTTTTCTTCCATTTATAAATTGTTATTGGCACACCGCTTCTGCACAAACACAGCCAAAGATCAAATTTTTTATTCTTTGGGCCGCGGCTAAAGGCGTTCATCGGAATTCATCCGCTAAATCTGGTATTTTTTTGGTATTTCCTTTCAATTTCCTTAGCTCAACTGAGTACCGCTGTGAACAAAGTCCCCGGCTAAAGGCTTTAGCTACCTATTTGCCTCTCGCTTACTCCTATGCTTAGCTAGCAGTTTTCGTCGTACTGAGTACTAGGCTTAGGGCCGGTTTCTCGAGTCCCTCTCAAAGTCCCTGATACCTATCTGTCCGAAAAACTTAAATACCAGATATACTGTTCGTAAAAGCAAATCGGTTTTCTCGATTGTTTTAATTTATCTGAACGAGAAACAATTACAGAGTGCTGTTAACGCACAGAATTGTGCTGTGAAGCGCAAAAAATGGCGTGCTTCGATTATTTCATCAGCTGTTTGGGTATATTTCAAGGGAAAAGTCAGCTGTGATTTCGTTTCTTCTTCTTAGTTGGCTTTGGGAAATCAGCTGTCATTCTATCGATCCGAAAACGCTTAACAGGGACTCCGAGTCCCTGTCAAAGTTAGCTCTCACATTTATGCTCGAGAAAGCCAAAATGCCTTAGCAGGGACTTTATCTGTTCGAGAAATGTTAGCCGGCACTCGAGAAACCGGCCCTTAAAGTAATAAGATTTTTCGACTTGTGAAACTCTTAGCCAAACTGAGTACTAGGCTAGAAAGCCGAAAACTTCTTGGCTATTGCTCTCGGCCTTCGCTCTCTTGCCATCCGCTCTCTGGGTTTCGCTCTCTCAGCAGGCTCCCACAAAATGCAACGCAATAACTTAGAAAATCTAAATAAATTCGTTAAAAATACTTAAAAACAAGAAAGAAAGCTAGCTTCGGCCAGCCGAAGATTATATACCCTTGCAGATCGTTCCTATTAACTTACAAATCGCAAAAATTTTAAATGTCGTATTATTTTAATATTATGTTTTCTATCCTTCCCTATTGCAGCTATATAAAATAGTCGTCAAATCCTGATACACGTGTTTACTTATTTTCCGAATAATACGTGTAAAAAAAGTTTCAGGGAAATAAAAAATGTGAAATTTTTTTTTGGCCAAATCTGTGAAATTGGATCAATAATAAAAATTGATTTGATGCTTTTTGGTTGAATTGTCAAACCTTTTACGACTAATTAGGTGCTATATACAAATTAGAAAAATACAATTATTATTTCAGCGGCATAATTACTTCGTTCCGTACTAAAAATAACGCTCACATTTCAAAATTAAAACATTAATGCGTCTATAAACTTATATAAAATGACCTTTCTAGAGACTACTGCCCGATATGATAAAATTAAAAACAATTACATATGTATGTACTTTGTACAGCCCAAAACATTTAAAAAAACGTGTTAGAAATGACTGATTTTATGGCAATACACACTTTATGTTACAGTTTTTAACCTTAATTATTTGACCAGTATAAGTTATTGGAATTAAAAATTTTAAATTTAACGTTTAAATTCTAAGTGACTTATCCAAACAAATCCCAAAACAAGAAAGGAAGCTACCTTCGGCCAGCCGAAGCTTATATACCCTTGCAGATAAAAGAATGCTCACTCGGTGCAGTTCCAGGGATTCCAGATTCAGCGTTCCTATTTATTTAAATTTTGTTTTTAAGCAGTCAAGAATTAAAACGTCTACTTCCTACAAAGTTACAATGAATTTTCTTATATTTGTTTGAATATTCCTATAAGAGCCTTAAGATATAGTGGTCCGATCCGGCTCGCTCCGACATATGTACTACCTGCAATAGAAAGAAGACTTTCAGGAAAGTTTCATCGCGATAGCTTTAAAACTGAGAGACTAGTTCGCATAGAAACGGACAGACGGACAGACAGACAGACGGACAGACGGACATGGCTAGATAGACTCGGCTATTGGTGCTGATCAAGAATATATATACTTTATGTGGTCGGAAACGTCTCCTTCACTGCGTTGCAAACATCTGACTGAAATTATAATACCCTCTACAAGGGTATAAAAAGCATATATATTGGTCCCTTTCTAGGCCTCTAATGAATGCTTTAATGAATGAGCCGAACAATGTAGTGGAATAACCGCATTAGAATTGTCCATAGAAAACGTCACCCCCTATAACTTGATGACCTTAAAATCGACCCACCCTAATGCACTTGCCCTGTGAAGATGCGACTGTTGCGTTTCGATGCACTTATCAAAATCTTGTTCGTATCAACAGGGTTTAATAATTATAACATTTGGCTTTCCAGGTCGCGTGGATGCATTTCGAGCAGTCGGCCATACTTACCGTTCATAACCATGTTATAACGCGTAATCCGAGGATTAGTGTCACCCATGATAAGCACGACAAACATCGCACCTGGTTCCTGCATATCAACAATGTCCAGGAAGAGGATAGAGGCCGATACATGTGCCAGATTAATACGGTTACCGCCAAGACCCAATACGGATTTGTCAAAGTTGTTGGTAAGTCTTCGATTGATAATAAAAAGCCTGTATGGTCCTACCATTAATAAACCAAAAATAACTCTTTGGGCCGTTTTTTCGTTCGTACTTTAATTTGCCTGCCGGGACATCGGAGCGATAAACAAAGAATTGTTTACTTGTCCTTATGTTACTCCAGGTAGCTAAAAATTTTGTCGGAGTACTTCATCCACCTTTTCAAATCTGTGCGGGTGGATTTGTGCGGACATTTGCAAGCGTTGCCAAAAAATAGTTTTGCGACTTGAATCTAAAGCAAAGAAAGTTACTGCATTCATTTTGTTTAACTAATTCTATAGAATCCCATTATTACAGGGAAACGACATTACAGCCATCGGTTAAGCCTCTAATAGCACTTAGATTCTAAGCAAGCGGCAGTTTTCTTACAACTTTAGGCCAGTCGAGTTGCTAAGGAAGTTTCTTTTGCTATAGCGTCCTTATCAAAATTTAGCGCCTTGATAAATTAGTCAAATTCTACCTTGCAGGACGGACAAGAACAACGCCCTTAACGAGGTAAAGGGTCGTGACGATCGAACAATCAGTATACAGAAGTTCTGATATCACATTTTGTTACGAAAAGTGCTGGATCATTCGACTAAATAAAACCATACAATTTTTTCTGCTGTTTTTTCGAAAATATGAGGTACTTGTCGGGAAAAACAGCAGAAAAAAATTGTACGGTTTTATGGTTTAGACAAAAAAAATTTATAAAAAGTATCTTTTGTATTATAATTATTTTTTTTCGTAGACAAATGGTTTTCGAAAAATCGTAAAAATGGCGTCAGAAATTTTCAATCAGTCGATAACTTTACCCTCTACTCAACTTCAAATCCCACCTGAAAAGCTTTCAAAAGGTTGAAAAGGCAGCCTGCCAGGGGATCACCGGGTCGCGAGAAATGCTCTTTGGTTTGACGCACTGCAAATCTTTAGTCCGAACGCTACTGGTCACGGATAAATACTCCAAGCCATGGGGTGTCGATTCATATCAGGAGAATGCGACTACAACCCCCAGAATTTATCTGTGGTAGAAAATACGGGATCTCGATTCCTTCAATCGCATTATTCACAGATGGATCGAAGACGGAAGAAGGCACAGGAGCACGAGAGACTCCTAGACTGGTGTAGCGTCTTTCAGGTAGAGATTTATGCTATCTGGCAGCCTGCAAAGCTGATCTAGAGTTGGGAACCTCCTCCCACCTCAGCGGCCACCCTTGTGAACAAACAGGCAGCAATCAAAGCTCTACAATAGAAAATGCCTGTGAAGGGAAAAAGGCTGGAATAGTCTGCTAGGGCGGGCCGAATGAGAAAATATTAGAAAGTCTATTTAATGACGAGTGTAATAATTTTTCGTCACAAATGTTGATATCAGAACTTTTGTATGTTGAAGGTGCGATCGTCACTAGTTTTTTACCTCGTTAAGAGGTGTTTTTATTTGATAAATTATAAGTATTAGGAATAAATTAATCAGACTGAGTCAAAAAGTAGCAGACGACTATGTCAGATGGATTAAGACTGGCATATCGCGATCAGCGAAAAGGGGGGAAGTCAGCAGCGACATTATGCAAACAATTCAAGATGGTGTAATACGCGCGAGTTGACAAAAGGACAGTAAGCAGGACATATACGTACGGACGGTTAGTAAATCTACATACACATACATTGCATCTTGTTATAGATAAATATTAATATATATATACCTACATTATAAATAGAAATAGTTTAGAAGGGGGAAAAAGATTCTTTAAATTAAAATTAAATTTAAAATTAAATTATAACTGATTGTTTCTTTTCTGAGAGTTCCAAAAAATCCTGTGGCATCTGACGACCGGAGGCGATAGTTAAAGTCCTCTGTAGCGATCAGATGAAAGTTCAGGATGACCTCGACTGTCGACAATGGGGTAGTGAGTGGCATCTTGGACGACACAGGATGAGTCCGGCTGGAGGAATCTGGCATTTCTTAACTACAAATCGTCAATCAAAATTGATGATTTTGGTAGTTGACGAAGCCAGGCAGCAATGTTTTGTTTTTAATTCTCGCAAAAACATATTTGGCAACAATGAATCACACACACGTCACTTACAATCCGGGGAACCTATTTCCTCCATCACACAATGAATTTGATTGGAAATCCGTCGAATTATTTGAAGTATTACTAGCTTTTACCTTACGTTCTCTATATCCGGAATAACTCGATTTTGGGGTATACATTTTTTGTCTATTTCTGTTGAATATGGCGGATGGAAAGAATTCAGAGGCGGACCAGGCAGAGAAAGGAGCTGAAGGATTGATACCAGGGACAGAAGGGAGCCGATTGAGTTTACAACAGAGGGGATTCGTTCCAAGGAGTCTGAATCTGGACCCATCAGCCACTCCGCTTGGGACTTTTTCACATGTTCAGCTAGATCCTATCCAGGAGCAGTACAGCATGGAGAAGGCCGAAGCACACCGATCCCAAAGTCGCAGAGAATTCCAGGGTATGATCCAGGCCTCCCAGGAACAGATAAGGGTGGATATGACACACCTCATGGATGTCCGGATCGAACAATGCATGCGGGCCGGATTCGCGGACTTGATGAAGAAGTTAGACCTTAAGGATGCAGCTTCAACGACGTCGTCAAACGGTTCAGGCGCTCCGCTGGGGTACTCCAAAGGAAACCTGGGTTTGGAGAGACAGAGGGTCGACGAAGTCAACAGGAATGGTCAGGACTATACAGCGAGAAACTCTTGGCAGAATTTTGGGCAAAACGTCGCGCAGAATTTTACGCTTTTGTCCCATATGCGTCCACAAGGAAGGCCAAACTGCGCGAGAAACCTCGGATTCGCGCCAGCACAGGGTTCCAACAACAATCCGGGACTTGGACAATGCAACCAGGCCAGATCACAAGGCGCTGATCCAGGAGTTCCGTTTAGGTATGGTCAGTGCTGGGGTATCCAGCCCGAATTACAAGATGGACGATCCGCAAACTTTCATCGTCAATATGCGCCGATGTACAAATGGGGCTTTAGTTTCTCTGGCAATCGGGTGGGCATGAGTGTCGAAGATTTCCTTTTTAGGGTCGAGCATTTGCAGCAGCGATATGCAATGCCGTGGCCGGAGCTAATGAGGGATTTCCATCGACTGTTAACGGAGGATGCGTCGGAATGGTACTGGTTGTTGATCCGTACTAGACCGCCAAAGTCGTGGGTGGAGTTGCGACAGGCCATGGAGCGTCGCTTTAGCGACAAACGGAGCGACTATGACCGTATCCAGGACATTGCCGAGCGGAAGCAGAGACCCGGAGAGTTACTCGACGACTATTTTGCGGCGATAAGACGATTGGTAGCCAGAGTGTACAACACGGTAGACCAGGACTGGATAATTCGGACTATAAAAAGGAACCTAGCGGAGCCAGTCAAGCAATGGGTATATCCGGTTCGAGTCTTTACGCTGGAGCACTTGCTGGAAGAATGCAAGGAAGCGGAAAGGGCATTTAGTCCAGAATATGGAAGGCGGTACGACCGAGTCTCTACGGTACCTCGACCAAGACAAGAAAATAGGATTGGAGGAGTCGACGAGATTCGAGACTTGCCGTTGGACCAAAGGAACCAGGACTCTGTGGAACATCAAGATTATCCCATTGAAGCCGTCTATACGGGAGCGGTCAAGAAAGCATTGATATGTTGGAACTGTCAAAAGCCGGGTCACCTCTTCAAACAGTGCGGCGTCCCGAAAGTGAGTCAATTCTGCTACAAGTGTGGATTGGCAGACACACTAACTCCGCAATGTCCCAATTGTAAACAGGGAAACGCTTTTCGGAACGCAGGGTCAGCGGGCAATCAGCGTTCCATGAGGGAGTCCGCGGAGATAGAGAAACGCCTACCCAACTGAGAATAGCAAAAAGGATTCCGGAAACGAACGATTCAGTCCAGGAAAATCCAAGGAACACGGTTTATATGTCCCTGCAGGAGAGAGTACGGCGATATAAAGAATTACGGGATCGTTTGTTTGGTGAGAATCAGCTGGCTGGGATGAGGGTCATCACGATGAGGGTCAAGAAGGCCAGGGAGCGGTTCAAAAGACGTAAACAAGACAGGCGGAAACTACAACAAACAGTGACGGCAATCGGATCGCAGGATAACGGCAATAAAGATCCCCGTCCATATGCGGACTCGGGAGCGTCACTGAGTGTACTGGGAAAAGGATGTAGAGAGTTGGTCAGTAAGCTAAAAATCTCATGGAGACCATTCCACGCAAAAGTGAGAACAGCAAGCGGATCTACACAGAATGTTCTGGGAAGAATCACGGTGCCCATCACGTTCAAGAATACCACAGTGAACATGGAACTATTCCTGTGTCCTACATTGGATCAAGAACTATATCTGGGAGTGGACTTTTGGAAAAGCTTCGACATAGCACCGGAAGTTTTTGGAATCGAAGAGATATTGTCCGGTTCAGAAGTTAAGAAGCCGCCGGAAAAGGCTGAGCCAGAACCGCATGTTCTGAATGCAGAGCAACAACAGCAACTGGATGAGGTCAGGAAATCATTTTTGTCGTTTGAGGAGAATGGACTGGGGCGAACTGGAAAAATGAAGCACGCCATAAAGCTGGTGCCAGGCGCTACGCCCGTCAAGGATCGCCACTATCCGGTTTCTCCAGCAGTCCAACAGCTAATATATGAGGAAATCGATGAGATGCTTCGCTTAGGGGTCATAGAAGAGAGCGACAGTCCGTGGAGTAATACAATTACACTAGTAAGGAAGCCAGGAAAGAATCGCCTATGTTTGGATGCTAGGAAACTCAATCAGAGGACCGTCAAGGATGCATATCCGCAGCAGAACATAGAGGGAATTTTGAGCAGGATAAACACGACCAAATTTATATCTAGCGTCGACCTCAAGCATGCTTTCTGGCAAATCGAAATGGAAGAAAGCAGCCGGAGATATACAGCCTTTACCGTGCCAGGACGCCCTCTGTATCACTTTGTCGTGATGCCTTTTGGTCTCA